TCAGTTATAGCCAAAGTTTACTTTCTGACTTTAATTTATTTATTTTAATCAATGATGGTGAATGATGGTGCAGAAAAAACATTTTTATTTATTTTAATCACAGCAATTAAACCAAATTTTGAACAACCTTTTTTCATCAATCATTGTAGTTCCTTACTCAAAACTTCAAAACCTCAAAAACTTCAACTTTAAATTTAGTTTTTTTTTTGTCTCTTTTCACTTCAGCTTAAGGTCCAGATGTTAGTTTTAAAAACAAATGCATTTATCCGCTCTCATGCAACTGAATAACCAAAGACTATAGTCGGAGAGAGGAAACCACAACACTGCCACTTTCACAGAGGAAGAAGAGTTCACGTAATGTGACCATGAGGTGATCTAAAGTCAGTCAGTGTTAGGATGGAGGAAACAGCTCTACTGCGGTGGATCGGTAAGTACATTAAAAAAACAACTTAGTTTGGTTTTTACAGAACTTTAATGTGTCTGTTTGGCTGAGAAATGATCTTTAAAGTTGTGAAAACTTCTATGGTCTCTGTATTTATTCATTCCTGCGTCTGTATTGTTGTGTAACCTACTGTGTATTGTATCTCTGTAGTTCTGACCTCTCTGCTCTGCCGCTCAACAAACCAACGTGAGTAAACATCTTTTTTTTAAAACTCTGATACACAAATCGTATTAAAGTGAGATTTGTTGATTTGATGTGTTTCAGTAATAGTTTGTTCAAACAGTAAGGTTGGTATTTGTTAAATAAGGTGAGGGCAAGTGAAACAGAAATCAGAGAGCGAGAGAGAGTATTTCCTGTAAACAGCAGTTAGGGATGGACTGGTGTTCACTGGGATGCTGCTGAGCCCCGATCAGTTGCTAACACTAACAGCAGCTACATTAGGACAAAATTAAGTCAGTGTCACTTAAAATTATTAAAGCTACATGATCAAGATTTTTTTTAACTCACAAAATTTAGTTAATTTTACTTTTGTTGTGACTTGGTCAATTTTCTGAGTTGAATGAATTATTTATTAACCACCACATCCTCCCACCTCTTCCTCGTCCTCCAGTTCGTCTGACTGTGAGTCCCAGCGGCTCTCAGCTGTTCAAAGGACAGTCTGTCTCTCTGAGCTGTGAGGAGGACGACAGCTCTGCTGGATGGACACTGAGGAGGAACACAACCAGAGAAACAGGACTCAGTGTGGAGCCGAGTGGGGAACGCCGGTCGGTTCTTCCTGTAAGATCAACTACGTCCTTGCGTGGGACAGTGGAGTTTACTGGTGTGAGTCCAGAGAGGGAGCAACCAGTAACACCATCAACATCAGTGTCACTGGTAGGACAATCATAGCAACAACAAACATCTTCAACCTTACTACACTGTTGCACAAAAACAGAATTAAGGAATCCAGGATGATGACGTCTAATCGGAGCATCCATCCATCCGTATTAAACTTACTTTACATCCTGGAAGCTTAAATTAAAGCTTATTATGTAAAAAAAGGACTCAAAGTCGCTGTAATAAATCACACTGAATGGGTTAGTAGGCTAAAAATAAACATTTATGCCCTTGAGGAGTTACTGTCCTTTACCCGAATGATCAGCTGCACATTTAAAAGTGAGAAATTGAGGTTTCGTTGCTTTATGAAGTCAATTTAGAACAAAGTTTGGAACATTTCTGAGTGTTACATAAACTAATTATTCATTATTTACAGCTTTTATTATCATGTTCTTTTATGTATATTCTTGATTAACACAATCTAAAATCAATATCACATGAATAATATATATTAAAAAAAAGGCAACTTAACTAAATGGTAATATCTAGTTTATCTGTAGTATTTTATCACAGTCTAATAAAATAACATGAAATAAACTTGTTTAGTTCGTAAATTTGGGAGTTTGGGAGTTGACACTAACTTAACTCGACGTCTCTTTGTTAAGGTGGATCGGTGACCCTGCAGAGTCCCTTCCCCCCCGCAGTGATGGAGGGAGATGATTTCACTCTGTGCTGTCGAACAAAGAAGACCTCCGACCTCCCGGCTCTTTTCTACAAAGATGGCTCCCTCATCAGGTCCGAGCCTACTGGTCACGTGACCATCCGCCACGTTTCCCGGTCTGACGAAGGCCTCTACAAGTGTCACATCGACGGTCACGGAGAGTCTCCGTCCAGCTGGATCACCGTCACAGGCGAGGAGGTTACCTTTAATTATAATAATATCTCTAATTCATGCAGATATTTGTCTGACCAGGTGGGGTTCTCTCTACAGGTAAACCATCAACCCAAGCCCCGCCCACCAATGTAGCCCCGCCCACCAATGTAGCCTCGCCCATTAACATAGCCACGACCCCAGCCTCAGACCCCGGCCAGCTTGTGTCTCCCGTGCTCTGCCACCTAGTGGTGTTCTGTCCGTACTGCATCTCCACTGTCCTCATGGTGTCTTTATACCTACAGAGGCCCACAGGTAATCAATCAATCAATCAATCATCAATAAAAGAGTTGTATTGATTACACAGTAATATTATACTGTCACACAGCAACTCACACTCGACCCAGAACCGACAGGAAAGTCTCAGCTAACCTGGTTACCAATAAATCAGAGGAGACACCGAGCGAAACCTCCATTTAAATATTACGCAATTCTGTGTCATCCTGGTTGACATCCGCACACAAACCTCAGGAACAGCATTCAACACGTTACCTGGATCCACGCGGGCCTGCCCGTTAATTCGGCTCGGTAATGATCATCAAAGCAGCCCATAATACAACAGAGCCTTACATTTAATAATGAATGTGCGTCATTCCCTGTAACGGTCCACACAGGCAGGAGAGAGCGGCAGAAAGCGCGAAGCATCCCTCAAAGTACACATATGAACGGAAACATGTGCTGGTTGAAGGATTACACCGCAGCCGAACCGAATTATTAATAATTCCCGCTCAAACAAAGTTAAACTTGTTACTTTATCGGGGATATTTATTCGCCGATAAGCGATGAAACAATTAATTCGCACATTTTTCGGTGCGGTTTGGCGCAACGTTCAGGACGAAGCTGAGCTCGCACACAAAACAACGTCCGACAATGGAAACCGCCGTGATTGCGGCCGCTAACCTGCAGCTCGGCCCGCTCCACCTCCCAGTGCGCGCGCTCCACCTCGAACCGGGCCCACTCGTGCTGAATGAAGTGGAGGATCCCGGGAACCGTGTACTGCTGCTGCGGCCGGGCCAGCTCCTCCGGTTGGACCGGGACCATCACCGCTGCTGCTGCTGCTCCTGCTGCTGCTGCTC